TGGTGCGTTGGGGGGGGTGAAAAGAAAATTGGCACATTTTAATACAGCACCGAAAAACGCATGCTTCAGCTTTGTCAATTTGGCACGAAAAATTCACCATGTACGGGACCTACACCTGCGCGTCATCGTCACTGTGTATTTGAGGCAATGCCCAGGGGCAATGCCACATTTTTGTCCTAACCGACGCGGGACAGCGATGACAGGCGCTGATAGCTGACCGTGGACAATTATGGGGGAGGAGGCATCTGAAATTTCCCGCACAAAAGCTCCTTTTCGTGATTACCAGTTGTTTGGCAAAGGTGAGTATCTGTAAATGAAGTATAGAATGCCTGTTTGATATAATATCGTTTTGATCTGCCTGTCGTACCTCGCCAAAGAGTCACTGCCTTATACTATGTATAGCCTTCCTTATAGCCTGTGTACCATCCTACATGTATTTGTATGCCGGGGGTCACTCGTCACACTCGCTAATCCCTAACAAGTGTAATGCCATTGTTTGTTTTTGGTGGTGTACAGGGGGGTCAGAAGTCATGATCTCAGTGTTTCCATGGATCGCACTTATTTTCGCTGGTAAAATATTAAATTTTTGGACTAGATGGACAATTTGGAAGTTGGACTACCCTGTCAATACGAGTTTGCAATAGTTGAACACTCAAGTAGGTGATTTTTGACAGCTGAATTCTTGTATTTTTAACATATCTTCCAATGGAGGCTGGTATTAGTGTCCTGTCCCCGACAAGCGGGCGCTCCAAGGGCTGTCTGACGTTTTGACTACGAAGACTTTTAAAATCGCCCACAACGAAAAAGGGCTTGCAGGCCCTGGCCTTATTTGAGATTTGCTGAGTGATATTAAATACCAAGGTACAATCCACAAAATAATTAAACACCGACATAAAGTGGCCTGCGGTTACGTTTTAATGCCCTCTTTATTTGGCCCTCTGCGGAGATCTAGCGAACTGCAGACGTCTCACCCCAGAAGATCGGCCGGGGCGGAGTTAAAAATGACCAAACACAAAGATAGACGGTATCCCTTATTTTCTCGCCTTAGTTTTGGCCGCTATTGGTGGGCGAAGATCATAGCTAATTATGTTTATTTT